TGTAACCGCAAACAGAGAACAGAAACAGTAGAGCTTAGGTGAGACAAAGTGGATTGCATAGTTAAAAACTGTGAAAACATAGCTAGAGGAAAGGGAGGTTTTGGGGGGAAGGGGATAGACTAAACGGTTCGACAGGATGTTCTTCTGACAAGGGGAGGGGGCGATGAGTCTGTGTAAGGGAATATAAGCTGACTTCCATGCTTTGTTCTGTGTTCAGCTTTGTTGTGTCCATATTTGCAAGTACGTTAATAAACTACTTTGCTGCTTTCAAGTTGTTGTCTCTGGTAGTTCCATATGCAAATGTGCATGGTTTACAACATCATTTTATTGCCAGCAAGTAATATTCATTCCACAATTTAGGGAGAAAGAGCTAAAATACCTTGTTATGCAAAATTCCATCTACAGTCTCTCCCAAAATCTGTTCTTCATCAAATGACTGTGGTTTTTCTTTCATATAAGTAAACAACTGAGTAAAAGACAAACAATGACATAGTCACAATGAATAATCTTTCCTACTGTACTAATATAGCATACTTGCTATTTCCTTTTAATCAGAATACAATTTGTGCTTCCCTACCCAATTTTCTGAAGATTGTTGCCAACTAGAAAGGAAATATTATTAAATTTATTAGAATTTATATTAACACATATTTTATTTTTAATGATTTTTTTGTTTGTTCTGGGTCTCACCCACTTTTTGGTAAGTTCCTGGCATGTAACTCAAATGTGGCCTGAACATTACTGACTGCAAATTTGTTATTACTATTTGTTTGATATAATTAATATGGCAACAAAAGTGCAATATCTCTAACAGTACATTATATATTATAAAGAATCTGTCAGTCACAAGAACATCAAGAATTCCATTAACCCAGCTGCATCACTTCTACATTGATAACCAGATCAAAATTAGATGAAATGCCATAAAATACCTATAAACGTGGCTATATATGTAATTGGTTATCTATAATACCTTGTAACAATCTATCAGCCAGACCAGAGCTGCTACAATCTGAGGCCACATATGAGGAGCACCCACTGTATACATAGAGCTTTTCGACAAAGCAAATGGATAACTGTAAGAAAAAGGTTTTCTGTAAAAAACTTACTTTTTGAAGAAAATGCCAGATACAATTCAAGCTACACTCAGACCCAAAAAGGATCCACTTAGTTTTATTTTCTATAAAATTAATTAAAATGAATATTAAGAATCCCGCCTTTGGTATTTTCTTATAAACAGCTTAGTTTTCTCTTTCTCTATATGCCATCATCATCTCATCACTCCTTATCAACCATCTCCTCCCACTTGTGACTGTAACTTTGTCGCTTTATATTGACTGTTTCCTAGTACGATTTGATTGCTTATTGTACCCTATGACTATTATTAAGTGTTGTTGATTCTTGACTCCTAACAAATTTATCTTTTATGTATACTGAGAGCATTTGCACCAAGACAAATTCCTTGTGTGTCCAATCACACTTGGCAAATAAAGAATTCTTTCTATCTATCTATCTATCTATCTATCTATCTATCTATCTATCTATCTATCTATCTATCTATCTAGGATATAGCTATACATAGGACACAGCTAGACGAATCATGCCAGTATAAAATAACAGCTCGTGAACCCAGCTGTCAATATTATACTGAAGTCAGGAATCCTTTGTAGAGAGGACACATATAGTTAGTTATATTTGCTGTATAAAGTTGTCTCCTTTCAAACAAAGCTAAATTCCTGGCAGACATTCTAGGAGTATCTATGTAATTTTCTTGTTAACAATACAAGTAGATCTCATTTAGCCTCAGGCAGTGATTGTTTTTACAACAGTGATGAAAAAGTAACTTTGTGAGCAGTGCCCACATTTACAATCTTTGCAGTGTTAGTACATGTTGTCCGTGCTAGACAAGCTCAGCCTGTGACTTTAGTAACGTGCTTATGACTAACAAGACTTTAATCAGTTTCACACATTCAGCTTTTTTGTGTGTGTGTCCACTAAGGGGTTCAGGCAAACAACTAGGCAAACAGCTGGCACTAGGGCATTTTTTTCAATGTATATTTCCATTGTGCCTGTTTACTTTCATGTAATCCAAGGCTGTCAAACTCCCAGCTGCTGGCCACGCCGACACCTGTTTTATCGAAGGGAGAAAAAATCCCGATACATCACGTGACACCGCCACGTGATATGAGTTTGACAACCCCGATATAATCCCTGTGTCTCCAATGGACGTAAATATAAGCATCAATTTTCCCTTGTTAAATATTTCAGCACCAGGCTGAGCATTCCAAAGAGCGGGGAAGTGAAGAAAAAGGGCTATATTTGCTCTTTTCCCGATGTCCTTGTGAATCAAGTACCAGAAACCTTCCCCGCCATTTGGGCTCATCTGGCTTCTTTGGGGTTGTATCTTTTTGATGTTGTAAAGCAAAAAAAAAAGCTGAAATCATAAGCACAATTGGGGTCATATGATTTTCTATTTAGCAACTACATAACAACCAAGTTGCCTGTCACCATTGCTAAATGAGACTACCTGTAACACATACAGTTTAACTATTTGTAAGAATATATTGTCTAAATATTACAAAATTAAAAGGAAATATAATTATGAACCTTGATAAACTCTGGAAGAATTTTCTAGCATGTAATCAAGAAATGTATCATCCACAAAATATTCTTAGTTATATTCATTTTAATTGGTGAGATTAATTAAATGGGGAGGTTGTACTTACCCAAGGTCTTTGAATATTCTTGGGATTTCTTCTTCAAATTTGGAACCCGAAAGGTCATATGAAGGGCAAAACTGTTCATAAATAAAGCTGAAAATTTTCACAAAGTCCTTAACAGAAAGAGTTTGGAGTGATTTCACAGTGACTATAGGACCATACCCATATCTTGTAAGAAACTGGGAAAAAATTAAAAGTATTACTTGTTTTGGGCTTTATGCCAGTTTACAGTGCAATCAAAATCTCTCTATGGTCCAAATTATTGTTCAATTAGAGAACTTGGTAGATTAATCATGTATTTTAATCAACAAAGATTTGCATATATTTTTGCCATAATTAAAATACATTGCTGACAGTTCTAAGAT